CTACAAATTGAAAAAGGCCCTTTATGGTTTAAAGCAAGCACCTAGACAATGGTATGAGAGGTTAAGTAACTTCCTAATTGATCAAGGGTACAAGCGAGGATGTAGATTGGACAGAAAAAGTACCTCTGGTACTTGTCATTTACTAGGGAGCAGTCTTATATCGTGGCACAGCAAAAAGCAAGCGTGTGTTGCTTTGTCAACTGCAGAAGCTGAATACATTGCAGCTAGGAACTGTTGTGCTCAAAGCATCTACCTCAAGCAACAACTGACAGATTATGGAGTAACTCTAAACAAGGTACCTCTGGTTTGTGACAATACTAGTGCAATAAACTTAACTAAGAATCCTATTCAACACTCTAGAACTAAGCATATTGAAATTAGACATCACTTTATTAGAGAACACGTATCTAGGGGTGACTGTGAGATTTTATTCGTTGAATCTGAAAAACAGTTAGCTGATTTATTCACTAAACCACTTCCTAGAGATAGACTTAATATGCTTAGGACTGAATTAGGAATTCTAGATATATCTAGTATTGCATAACTGATTTGTTACAGTGATTGTATGCTTTTTAACAGGCTGATAACAAGTTCAATCGATTAATAATTGCATGAATAACTTGATATTATTTGTTTCAATCGATTGAAATTGTGAAATAATCTGTTGATTTTCTGATTCTTACTCACTGATATTGATGTGTTATTAGTTCAATCGATTAGATAAGCTTTTAATCGGTTTATTTCATTAACCTTGTAGCTCTGCATACTTTCTTCTATAAATCAATCGATTAAATCTTCGATTCAATCGATTGAATTCACTTATGGTACTCTGCATGCTTGTCTCTTACAATAACAATCGATTTAATTCTCGATTCAATCGGTTTATTTTACTTCTGAGTATCTGCGATTACAAAATCAATTGGTTTCATGGAATATCAATTGATTATTTTTTTTTAGGGCTAGTTGTATGTACTTTGTCTCTAAACAATTTCTGCAGAGTGGATTGAATGCATTTACAACAAGATAAACTTCAACTACTCTCTTAAATATCAAAGATATCCAATAAAAGTTGATTGACTCTGATTGGATATCAGATGTGAGGGTAATTAAAGTGTACAGTAGCAATTCTCTCTCCTCCTTTATCATCACTGCGCAGAAACAATAAAACAGTAAAGACAAAAATTTTTGAAGCTGAAAGGTTTGTGTATTCTTATTCCTGTAGTATTATTTCCTTCTTTGAATTTTCTCTTTTCTCGGTTCTACTCTGTTCTGCTCATCCAAAAAATCAAGTATGCTCAAGCGAACAAAGTCTGGTAGGAAGAAGTCCAGCAGAGGCGAGTCTTCTACTGCAAGGCGAGAACAAAATGTTGGAGGAAGGATTGAGACTTGGTTCAATGGGGACCAAGAGAAAATGGATTTGTTTATCCATGAATTGAGCAGGAAGCAAGTCAACATTCCAAAGATGTTAAAGTTTTCCTGGTTTGATGCTGAAGGATTCAGAGGCATTCGGAAGTTACTGCAACATCAAAAACTTCAGAAGTTTCTGGAGTTGAATGGTAAGATTTACCCTGACTTAATTAAAGTCTTTTTCACTAACTTGTCCTTTGAAGGTTCCACTCTAATAACTCAAGTCAAAGGAGTAGACATTGAGATAACACCTAATGTCTGGAAGGAGGTTGCTGGAATAAAGGATGTAGGTGTGAAAGTCACCAAAGGGTGTACTTCGGATGTTGAAGAATTTAATAAAGTTCAGTATTTCCGCTCTTGCCTGAAGAATAGGCATGATTCTGTAAGTTCATTCAACACTGGGAAGTTGAAACTGGAAGAAAGGATTCTCGCTTTCATCGTTTCCTGGCAGCTCACACCCAGGGGAAGCAATCATGCGGTGCTAAACGAAGGAGATTTAGTACTGATGTACTGCATTCACCACAGGATACGGGTGAACTGGGTCTTCGTCATCAAGGACCACATGATCAAAGCCAAGAGGCTAAGTGATTTCAGGTATCCTTATGCTATTCTGATTTCTAAGTTTTTAACACATTTTGGTGTTGATCTGGAAGGGGAACTTGTTGAAACTGTTCGACCAACAAATGAAATAAACAATTCTGTTCTTCACAAAATGGGGTTCATCAAAATTGATGGTGAATGGATTTCCAAAGAAGAAGCTGGAAAAAGTGAAGAAAGTGAAGAAGAAGAGCAAGAGGAAGGAATCAACACTGATATTCCTGGAACTTCTGCAGCACGTCCGTCTGATCCAATGGAAGAAGTGAACCCAATGGAGATGATTCCATACAATCCACCGCCTGACCGTGGCACGCCTCTATCTCAGTTCGAAAGAACAATGTTACATCAAATGAGCGAACTGCAATCAGACCAAAGGAGGCATATGGAGATGACTGCTGCTCTGAGGGCTCGGCAGCATTATTTGGATGAAAATTTCATTGCAAGGTTCCAGCATATTGATAATCAACTAGAAGACATTTACAACAGAATTGTGGAACTGCAATTCAACCAAGGCCCCGGGGACGAATGAAGATTTTCTATGTTTCTGCTATTCTATTTTCTTTTCCTTAGTTTTTAATGTTCTATTTTTTATTCGGGGTACCCACGTGGCCCCATTGGACTGTAACTAAAACAATCTATTTGATGCAGTCAAATAGGGGGAGAAGTATTTTGCTTAAAACTGTCACTACACACACACCACAAAATATATGTCTCTGGTCTGTTATTTTTGTTTTGCAGGTGCAGTGGTTATTTGTCTCCATCAAATAGGGGGAGATTGAAGCACTTGGTGGATTTGATGAAGACATAGATATAACTTAGGTTGTGGGTGTGTAAATGATTAGGTTTTTAAGTTTAAGCACTTAATCTCTTGATAGGCCATTATATTTTGTGATAAGCACCTTAAAATATTGCATATCATTGAAAATCATTTTTCTGCATGAAAAACTAACATCAAAGTATTAAAAGAACAAACTAAGTTTTTCAATCTGTTGAAAAGGATTTTCAATCTGTTAAAATCACTTAAAAGAATAAGTGGTCATACATAGTCGTATTTTCAATTGATTGATTCGCGGAATCAACAAAGTTAAAATAACTCAATGAATTTTTCAATATCAAAGTTTCGCATTTTCAATCTGTTGAAATGATTTTTAAATCTGTTGAAACAGAAAGACTATTTTTTCAGTCTAAGAGTTTTTCAGAAAATCAATCTGTTGAAATAATTTTTAATCTGTTAAAACAGAGAGGCTATTTTATTAACTAAGTGTTTGCAGGTTTTCAATCTGTTGAAATAATTTTCAATCGATTGAAACAGAGAACTGTCATTTTTCATAAAGCTGTTTCAATCCATTAAAAACTCGAATCAATCGATTGAATGGAGCTTTAAATGAAATCAATCGATTGAATTGATGTTTTAATCGATTGAAATATATTCTGATCGATCATAGTTTTATTCTGATCGATCATAACTCGGTCTGATCGATCATAGTTTCATTCTGATCGATCATAACTCGGTCTGATCGATCATACTTCAGTTCTAATCGATCAGAGTCTCTTCTAAACTATTTTTACTTCAATCTAATCGATCTTTTGACACTCTGAAACAGTTTTTGACAGTTGGAACATTCTAATTCTATGCTTTACTCTATATATACAGAATTGATCTATCTTTTGAATGACACACAAACAATACACTACTTGAGAAAACTTGTGAAATCAATCTGTGAAACTTTCATACGTGACTTTCTCTGCATTCAAGAATCTTTTTCATATCATAAGGTGTTGTGATCAGAATTGTGGTCAATCAAAGAGAGAAAGTGCTGTTAGAATTTGTTCTGGACAATTAGAACTTCAAGTCCAGGTTTTTTCTTTTCATACTCTTTTGTAAAAGTGTGATTGTGCAGGTTGGATTGTGATCTGCACTTGGTACGGTAACTGGGTTTGGTTACTGGGTGGTTTTCAAGATTCTGTCTTGTGGGTTTGCAAGATAGTTCTTGGGGTAGATTGGTGAGTATCTACTGGTTGTAAATTTTCACTTGGTATTAGTGAAACTTGACTGGTTTGTCAAGAACTGGATGTAGCTCTGGATTAGAGTGAACCAGTATAAATTTGTGTGTTAATATTCTTCTTTCATCTCTTTTATTTTCTGTCAATTAACTTGCTGTGTTTAAACCAAACTACCTTCGCAAAGATTGAATAAAGATAACTCATTCTTCCAAAAGAAAGTAAGTTTTGTTAAAAAGTTTTAAAGTTCAATTCACCCCCCCTCTTGAACTCAACCATTAATTCTTTCATGGAGAAGTTTGGAATGGAGGAGAAGAACCGAAGAATAGAGAAGAAATTAAGGAAGAAGTTTAGGAAGGAGACGAAGTCAAGGAAGAAGAAGTTTTGGATGGAGAAGAAGTTAAGGATAAAGAAGAAAGTATGAATGGGGAAGAAGTTTGGGATGGAGAAGAAGTTTGGAATGGAAAAGAATATACGAAGTATGGAGAAGAAGTTAAGGAAGGAGATGAACTTTCGGATGGGATGGGATATCATAGGAGATTATATAGTTAAGAATGGAGAAGAAACTTGGGATGCAGAATGAAGTTAAGGAAGCAGAAGAAGTTAAGGAGGATGGAGAAGAAGTTAGGGAAGGAGAAAAAGTTAAGAATGAAGAACAAGTTAGGGAAGGAGAAGAAGTTAAGGATGGAGAACAAGTTAGGGAAGGAGAAGAAGAAGTTAAGGATGGAGAAGTAGTTTGGGATGGGGAAGAAGTGAAGGAAGGAGAAGAAGTTAAGGAAGAAGAAGTTTTGGATGGAGAAGAAGTTAAGGGTAAAGAAGAAAGTATGGATGGGGAAGAAGTTTGTGATGGAGAAGAAGTTTGGGATGGAGAAGTTTGGAATGGAGGAGAAGAACCAAAGTATGGAGAAGAAATTAAGGAAGAAGTTTAGTTAAAAGACAAAGTCAAGGAAGAAGAAGTTTTGGATGGAGAAGAAGTTAAGGATTAAGAAGAAAGTATGGATGGGAAAGAAGTTTGGGATGGAGAAGAAGTTTGGAATGGAGAAGAAGTTAAGGAAGAAGAAGAAGTTAAGGAGGATGGAGAAGAAGTTAGGGAAGGAGAAAAAGTTAAGAATGAAGAACAAGTTAGGGAAGGAGAAGAAGTTAAGGATGGAGAACAAGTTAGGGAAGGAGAAGAAGAAGTTAAGGATGGAGAAGTAGTTTGGGATGGGGAAGAAGTGAAGGAAGGAGAAGAAGTTAAGGAAGAAGAAGAGAAGAAGAAGTTTTGGATGGAGAAGAAGTTAAGGGTAAAGAAGAAAGTATGGATGGGGAAGAAGTTTGTGATGGAGAAGAAGTTTGGGATGGAGGAGAAGTTTGGAATGGAGGAGAAGAACCGAAGTATGGAGAAGAAATTAAGGAAGAAGTTTAGGAAGGAGACGAAGTCAAGGAAGAAGAAGTTTTGGATGGAGAAGAAGTTAAGGATAAAGAAGAAAGTATGGATGGGGAAGAAGTTTGGGATGGAGAAGAAGTTTGGAATGGAGAAGAATCTACTAAGTATGGAGAAGAAGTTAAGGAAGGAGATGAACTTTCGGATGGGATGGGATAGCATAGGAGATTATATAGTTAAGGATGGAGAAGAAACTTGGGATGCAGAATGAAGTTAAGGAAGCAGAAGAAGTTAAGGAGGATTGAGAAGAAGTTAGGGAAGGAGAAAAAGTTAAGAATGAAGAACAAGTTAGGGAAGGAGAAGAAGCTAAGGATAGAGAAAAAGTTAGGGAAGGAGAAGAAGAAGTTAAGGAGGGAGAAGTAGTTTGGGATGGGAAAGAAGTGAAGGAAGGAGAAGAAGTTAAGGAAGAAGAAGAAGAAGAAGAAGTTTTGGATGGAGTAGAAGTTAAGGGTAAAGAAGAAAGTATGGATGGGGAAGAATTTTGGGATGGAGAAGAAGTTTGGGATGGAGTTGAAGTTTGGAATGGAAGAGAAGAACCGAAGTATGGAGAAGAAATTAAGGAAGAAGTTTAGGAAGAAGACGAAGTCAAGGAAGAAGAAGTTTTGGATGGAGAAGAAGTTAAGGATAAAGAAGAAAGTATGGATGGGAAAGAAGTTTGGGATGGAGAAGAAGTTTGGAATGGAGAAGAAGTTAAGGAAGAAGAAGAAGTTAAGGAGGATGGAGAAGAAGTTAGGGAAGGAGAAAAAATTAAGAATGAAGAAAAAGTTAGGGAAGGAGAAGAAGTTAAGTGTCGCCGCCTCCCCGAAAACGGGGGCGCGGTCGGAGCGACGCGATGGTTTTTCGACTCTCTTTGATTTCGCGTTTTTTTATTGGTGGTTACAACGCCTTTAGGTTGTCCGATAACCGGGCTAACCTAGGGGCGAGGTTTTCAAAAGTGTCCATGGGTTGTCCGATAACCGGGCTAACCCAAGGACTTATTTATTTTGGGTTCTATGGAGTCGCCACCGATATTTTTACCATAAACATCGGAAAAGGGGTTTTAAAAGGCGTTGGTTTTCGAAAACCAACTTTGGTCATTAGAACCAGAGTTGGGTAAGGGAGTTAGTTACGTGCAAAGGGAGTATTAGTCCCTTTGCGACGCCCCTTTCGGGTTCCCTATGATAGGCCGGCTATTTGCGAATAATTAAACTTGGAAAATTGCGCTTTTACCCTTTTATTATGCGGTATTTAAATATGTGACTACATTGCCCTAGCTTCTATTGCATAATTTAAATGACAGTAATTTCAAAGAATAGAGAATGAGGATATGCACCTCCAAAGCAAGCTTTATATTCAAAAAGAGGGTGCGTTTTGGCAACCCTTCACTCTACAACTCTCAGAAAACTCCGGAAATGCCTCGGAGGGATTCTAAAGAAGATTTAGGACACTCTGTATATGCCTAAAGACGCTCAGAAACTCCGGAAATGCCTCGGAGGGATTCTTAGAGAGAGAAATTCTAGAGAGAAGGGAGAGCTCTTGGTTTTTCTGTGTGGAAATGAGGGGGGGAGAGCCCTTATTTATAGTTTTTCGCGCTGTCAGGGTCCAGACCGCCGTTCTCGTCTGACAGGGTCGAGACCGCCGTCTCGTAATTCGAGACCACCGTCTCGCTCATGTCACGGGGTCGAGACCGCCGTCTGGAAAATCCAGACCGCCGTCTCGACTTGGCGAGAATCGAGACCGCCGTCTGGAAAACCCAGACCGTCGTCTCGTTTTTGCGAGTGTCGAGACCGCCGTCTGGAAAATCGAGACGGCGGTCTCGTCCTGGCGTTGAAACGAGACGACGGTCTGGTATTCCCAGACGGCGGTCTCGTCCCTTCAGGGCGAGAAACTTTATTTTTGGGCCAAAAAACCTTCCTATCTTGGTACGGGAGCCTAATAGTCTCTCCTAGTGGCTTGTTAGGCTTTGACCATCTTCAAATAGGGGATCTTCTGACTTTATTTGGAGGCCGGGCAAGATTTGGGGTCTACAGCTGCCCCCCTTTACCTGACTAGTCGACTGTTGGCTTGTTGTGCCAGACAGGTAGACAGGGAGGTAAAGGAGTTGACCCTCTCGCCCGGCTACCCTTCGGATGTCCCGTCTTGTGGCGGATGATCCTCTGGGGAGATGTTGTGGTCGTGTACCTCCGGAATACTACTCCTGACGTAGCCGATCCCTTTGGTTGACACGTGGTAAAACCTCCGGATACTACTCCTGACGTAGCCGATCCTTCGGTTGATGAGTATAAACCCCCCATCAGGCTGGTAGTTGCAGTCCGTTGTGTGGGACCGGATGGGTATGAACCCCACATCAGGGTGGTAATGGCGGCTTACTGCTCGGGTAGCTCATGCGCCTGCTCGACGCGCTTGCGTGTGCGAGTTGATAGGTATGAACCCCCTATCTGGCTGGTACAGTCCATTGCGTAGGACTGGTGGTAGTGGCGGCTTACTGATTCTGACCATGCGCCGATGTGAAACCTTGGGATGCTCCTTTGACGCGGTAGCTGACCCCTTGGCGGACGAGTATGAACCCCCGTCTGGTTATGTGCCTCTGGATGCCCCTTCTTGCGGTGGCTGACCCTTTGGCGATGGTGGCGGCTTACTGATTCTGATCATGCGCCGACTCTCTGGAGAGTGATTTCTGTGTTCGTGCACTTCCAGGATACTACTTCTGACGTAGCCGATCCCTTCGGTGGACACGTGGTAAAACCTCGGGATACTCCTTCTGACGGTAGCCGATCCTTCGGTTGATGGGTATAAACCCCCCATCAGGCTGGTAGTTCCAGTCCGTTGTGTGGGACTGGATGGGTATGAACCCCCCATCAGGCTGGTAAATGCAGTCCATTGTTGAGATGTGTTCTGTCTTTGTTTTTTGTCTTTTCTGGGAATTGTCGTCCGGTCTGCGCCGGGGATTTTGTTGGTGTTCTTCCAGCTTGTTGATTGTCGGGGATTCTTTGTTTTGATCTTTTGATAGTGGTCATCCGACTTTGCCTGGTTTGTCGGGGATTTTTGAAGAGTGCCTCTTAGGTAGGCGTAAATCCTCTAGGGATTTGTTAATCTTGGGGACGCCTCTTAAGTAGGCGGATATCCATTGAAAATTTGTTGATTTTGATGGTGCCTCTGGGCAGGCAGATACTCCATTGAGTTTCTGGTAATGACTCTGAGTAGGCAGATGCTTTATCGGATGTGAAGACTTTTGGCTGCATTTGTTTTGCCTCTGCCTAGGCCGATATTCCCTTATGGGGATGCTTGCTCTTGCTTGTCGAGTCTTGCCTATGCGTAGGCAAATGACATTCCGAGGATGAATTTGAAGTTTTGCCTTTGCGAGTAGGCTCACTCGGGGATGATCTTTCTCTTTTGGTGATCCACCGGGAATTGGTTGACTTCCGGGGTCCAATTTTGATTTCCCCTTTGAGGGAGTGGAGTTTTGACTTGTTGAATGTTGTTGTTATGAGATGGCTTTGCCGATACTCTTGTTGGGTTTTCTCGATTCCTTCTTTTTCGTTGATTTTCCCTTTTTCGAGGTGACCCACTTAGGGATAAAAGTTAGGATTGATTTCGCCTTTTTTCGCGATTTATCTCTTTTTTATCGCGATTTTGAAATTTGGCTTTTTTATGGGGATAATGCGTAAGCCTTTTTACTTTTTAGTCTCTTTTATACACGCAGGCTTTTTCTTGTTTTTGGGGATCCGCAGGGATAAAGTTTTCCTTGGTGATCCATCGTGGGATTGTCGACTTCCGGGGATCTCGAATTTTCTTTTCCGGGATGGAGTCCTCGACTCCTTTAATGCGAGCTGACCTTGTGAAGCTCTTTATTCAACTGGGGGGATGGAGATTTCTTATTCTTCCTTTTTGTAGATTTTGCTGGGGAGATCCACTTGGGATTCTTATTCGGCCTTCTCTGTCATGGCCTTTTTTGTCATCTGCTGGACATGAAGGGTTTTCTCTTCTTTTCTCTTCTTTCTTTTTGTTGAGCCCTTGATGGTTTGGACTCTTTTGACTGTTGATGATGATGGGCGCTTGAAGCCTCTACTCTCCATTGGGGAGTGTGGAGGAGGCTTTGGGTGAGTGTGCTCGATGACTCATGTGATGGCGGTGCTGAGCCATGGGGTAATTTTTGTGTTGCCTTCGGAGTAGGCAGGGATCCTCTTGGGGATGACTAAGCCTTTCCGTCGGCTTTTCTTTTATGATGTCTTGATGATTGTGCCCTCTTTTATTGGGTGATGATTAGAGCTTTGACTTCTGGAAGCTTCTGATGACGACTCACTCTTCTTTCTTGAGGGAGAGCACTGTGTGAAGACTTATTACTTTCTTGTGCCTTCTTTTTCTGGGTAGAAGGATGGTAGCTGGAGCTCTTGATATTGGAAGCTCTTATTTTCATGAGTTGCTTGATTGACAACTTGCTCCATTTTCTTGAAGGCTTTATTTTGGAGACTCGGTCTCAGTGATCCTGTTTTCAATCACAAATATGGAGCTAATCTCCTTATATGCATGAATGCTTTTCGTTTTTGTTTTTTATTGAAAGTGATTTTTTTATTTTTTTACCTTGACAAAGTCATTTTGTGTGACTACTTGTGTGTGGATGCTTTAAATGCAATCTATTCTTTTTTGGTTGATGCATCTGGAAAAGTGACTGGCATTCTTATGATTATGATGAAGGGCCCCTCTCTTTTATTCATTTTTTGGTTTAGCCCTATCTTTTGCCTAGACCGCCCTTTTGGGGTTTTCGGTCTAGCGGGTTGCCTTAATTTTTGCCTAGGATATCTTAGCGGGCTTTTCCTTTTTTATGAATGCCCTAACTTTTGCCTAGACCGCCCTTTGCGGGTTTTCGATCTAGCGAGCTACCCTAACTTTTGCCTAAGAATCTCCTAGTAGGCATTATTCTTTTTATTGTCATTTTTTCTTTCTCTTCTTTTTTGAGAGATAGGAGCCTATCATATGCATGCAATGTCTGTGATATGCATCCTATAATACTATTTCAGTTAATTTTTCAAAAGGATTAACCAATGTGCTTTTACTTCTGATGAGCTTCTGACGTTATGTGCTTTCGTCGACAGGGATAGGTTGTACCAATTTTGCCGCCTCGATTTCATGACCGAAGAATGATTGGTTTTTCTCTTTTCCTTCTTTTTTCTTGTAGAGCACTCTTTGCCATGTAGTGTCCCTCTTTCTTCACTCTAGGGATTTCAATCCTCTTGTTGACTATACGCCTCCATATTCCCAAATTAATTATTAGAATTTTGGTGTGAGGGTCAAGAGAAAAGAAGTAAAAAGGTAAATTCAATGGCTTGTGTTTTAGCATGTTATTTTTGTTAGAAAAAGGTTTTTGTAAGAATGGTTGGCTAGGGTTAGGCTTAGGTGTTTAAGCTTTTGTCTAAGCATACATTTTCCCCTTTTGCGCCTTAGTTTTATTACTTTTTATGGCTAGTTGATTTCCCTAGATCGCCCTTCGGGTTTTCGAACTAGGATATTGTGTCTTGGCCCTATCTTTTGTCTAGGTTCCTTCTTTTGTATATTTTTGGGGAATCCTAGCGGACCTTATTTTGTAACCCTAACTTTTGCCTAGGCTACCCTTTATTTTTGTTCGGGTGTCCTACCGGGTTGACCCTATCTTTTGCGTAGCCCCCTTGGTGGGTTTCCTACCGGGTATTTTGCCCTTTCTGTTTTTGTTTTTTGGCTTCTATGGGCTATCTTTTTTTGTATTTATTTTTTGGTTCACAATATTGGAGAAACATGACTTTCTTTATGGTGAGGTAAAGTCTTATTTGGGTGCTTCTAATCAACTAGCTTTATTCTTCTTCTT